GCTGCAACTTGCATACCTTGGTAGATTCTTCAGGAGCGCAAAACCCTTCAGGTTGTGTCATAAAGACATCCTCAAGGAGGTTTCCATTAAGGAAAGCCGTTTTGACGTCCATCTGCCAGATTTCGTAATCATGGTATGTTGCGATAGCAAGTAAGATCCGAATGGATTTAATCATGACAACTGGAGAAAAAGTTTCGTCATAGTCGATACCATGTATTTGACGATATCCTTTTGCTACCAATCGTGCCTTGAAGGTTTGCACCTTACCATCCATGTCAGTCTTCTTTTTGAAGACCCATTTGCACCCAATGGGTTTGATCCCTTCAAGTGCATCAACCAAAGTCCATACTTGGTTGGTGTACATGGAATCCATTTCGGACTGCATGGCTTGACGCCATTCCTCAGCCTCGGGACAACTGATTGCCTCGAGGTAGGTCTCCGGCTCATCCTGGTCGATAAGCATTACGTCACCCTCAAAGGTTAGGAGGAATCCACACCTTTCAGGTTGTGTGCGTAACCGGTTAGACCAACGGGGTTCTTGTGTATCTTGAGCATTATGAGGTACAACAGTTTGTTCCTCTAGCTCATGTTCCAGAACCGGCGCGGTAGTTTCTTCGTCGTCTCGAATTTCTTCGAGCTCTATCTTTCTCCAACTAGTTGCGTTGGAGAGAAATTCCTTCTCGAGGAAGACACCATTGCGAGCAACGAATACCTTCTTATCGATAGGGTGATAGAATGAATACCCTCGAGTTTCCTTTGGGTATCCCACGAAGAAACACTTATCAGACTTGGCGTCAAGCTTGCCATTCATCATAAGACGTTTTACATAAGCCTCACAGCCCCAAATCTTTAAGTGTGACAGAACCGGGCATTTGCCCGTCCATAGCTGGTATGGTGTTCCTTCAACCGCCTTGGTTGGAACTCGGTTAAGAGTATATATTGCAGTGCTCAGCGCATACCCCTAGAATGATTCTGGAAGATTCGAATGACCCATCATAGAACGAACCATGTCAAGAAGGGTTCGATTCCTCTTTTGAGAGACACCATTCCATTGTGGAGTCCTAGGAGGTGTGAGTTGGGATAAAATCCCATGCTCTCTAAGATAGTCATCGAACTCACCACTTAAGTATTCTCCACCTCGATCGGATCGTAGTGTTTTAATACTTTTGCCAAGTTGTTTTTCAACTTCATTCCTGAATTCTTTGAACATTTCAAAGGATTCTGACTTGTGTTTCATGAGATACACATAGCCATATCTATTGAGGTCATTAGTAAAAGTGATGAAGTATGAATAACCACCTCGTGCAGTTGTATTGAAAGGCCCGCACACATCACTATGAATGAGTGACAGAAGATCACCAGCTCTTTCACCTTGTCCGGTGAAAGGAGATTTGGTCATCTTACCCAATAAACAAGATTCACATATGTCATATGATTCAAGATCAAATGACTCCAGCATTCCCGACCGATGTAGCTTGGATATGCGTTTCTCGTTTATATGGCCTAACCTACAATGCCATAGGTATGTTTGGTTCAAACCGTTCGGTTTGTTCCTCTTGGCTGATATGTTATAGACAGGCATGTCCAAGTCAAGGACATATAACCCATTGGTCATGTTGGCATT